GAATAAAATAGGAGTAACGACTTTCTACTTCTTACCTTTTTAAAAAATGCAGTGAGTAGAAAGTACAGATAATTGTGTAAAAATGTAATGAGTAAAAGTAAAAAGTACGCTGAAAAATAATTACTCAAGTAAAGTACAGATAACCAAAATTTCTACTTAATAACAGTAACAAAGTATTTGTACTTAGTTAGTTTACAACTCTGGCAATAGGTTGCCTTCAGGCTCAGGCCTCCCTTGTGAAAAAGAGATCAGTGATCTCAACGAGACTTGCCTGGTTAATTAATGGTAAATAAATAAATAATTGTTAAAATTCAAGATGGGCACCAGAGTTAATTTTTAATTCCTTTAATGCAGCTGTTTTACAGTGAGAAATGTTGAGCTAAAATTTTGTGATCGAAGCTAAAAATGATCCAAACAACAAGCTGAATGCTAGTCCMAATTTATTATTCAGCCGTTTGGTGATCAGTCAGGTGCCAGTAGCACTTGCCCCCCAGTCATCCCCCTGGCTTCACCCCAGTTTACATTGTAATGTATGGATGGACTCGGCTAAGTGGCCTCTCTTTAACTCTTTGAGTTTTACAAAGAAAACATTCCAACATTTGTGTAACTTAGATATTATTTACTTACATGTTTCCAGCAGTTAATTATTCTGACTTATTTCTGTTTTTTAGCTTGTGTTTGATTTTTATTCTTCATCCATTTTTTGTATATTTTGCCTTTTTCTTTATTCTCTATAACAATATTAAGTCAGCATATCACTGAGCTGTGGTTGTTAAAGACTAAAATGTTTATGATAATGTTTTAAATGTCTTGAACTCTGGCTTCGGAGCCTGATACTTATGTGTTGGGCTCTGGACAACCGGAGGACTTAGTGCCTGGGGACTCKGTGACGGCAAGGCATTCTGCCTTTGCTAATGCTGGGTCTACCAGGAGTACTCAGCACGAGGGTAGCCCCTTGACTGCACCTCTTCGGGGAGCGGTCGGGGCTGCACAAGTGCTTGAGTGTTTAAGTGATGAGGACACCGACATGCTGGTGGGGTCCTCTGATGGAGGAAAGGTCAAGGGGGGAGAAGAACTCTCAGGAGATCTAGAGGGTCTCTCCCTTCAAGACCTTAAGAAAAAAAGGAAGAAGAAGAGGAAGAAGAAGAAATCTTCTTCCTGTTTGGTGGCTGGGAAGGGGGAGTTGGCAAAAGAGCCTTCCAAAGGCTCGGATGCTGACCACCCTAAACCCAGCACATCGAAAACCAGTGCTGGAGATGGAGCAGGGTCTTCTTCTCGTAAGAGGAAGAGGGTTACAGTCTAACTCCAGGTAGTGCCCAGGCTCTGAAAAAACATTGCAACAGGACTTCAATGGCACTGGCTACTGGCGGGGACTTGCAGGTCATCATCTTTCTAGATGATGGCCCACACAGACC